TGATTTTTATTTTATTAGTTTTAGTTTTTTTATATTTCTATATATCTTTAATTTCTGTAATCTACTACATATGGCAACACTACAATAAAGTCTAATTTGTAAACATGACTTAACACATTAACTAATATCAACTAACAATTATATATATATATATTTACAGCATTTATTAATGTTAGATAATAAAAATGTTCTTGTTCATGTTAGTTCACAGTGCATTTATGTTAACAGATGGAACTTTTGATCTAAAACATTAGTAAAAGTTGAGATTAACATTAGATAAGATCAAGAATTTTATTTAATTAGCATTTATATTTTCTTATGACTGAAAATTATTTTTAATAGTTTTAATTTTAGTTAACAATAACAACCTTGTAGTTTGGCCTAAAATCATTAATAATTATACAATAATAAATGCAGGTTTTATTTATTGGTTTAAACTCAGTCAGCTCAAAACATCTAACAGATATCAACTCACGGCACAATAATAACTACACGTTTCTAGAAAACCAGTGTTCTTTCAGAACTGTACGGAAGCCCTAAGAGGCCATAGATTAATTGAATTTAATTTTTCTTTCATGTTTTCTCGTGATCACAACTTAATTTTCTCGTGATCTCAACATAAAAAGCTGTTTTCTTGTGATCACAACTTAATTTTCTTGTGGTCTCGACATAACAACGTTGTTTTCTCGATATCACGACTCAATTTTCTCATGATTGACATTTAAAAAATATATATATATATAATATAATAAATATATAATATAACTTCCATTTTAATACAACTGTTAGATGTAACTCTTTCTGATAGATACTGATACTCTTCTTGCATTAAAGTCTTAAATCACATTGATTGTCAACATTTTATGTTTCCACTGCCTTGTAAAGAAACACGCATAAAATGAAGGCCTTGGTTTTTAATAAGTGATAAGACGTTCCGTCAAGTTTTTGTGTGATCTGCACAACATGAAGTTGTAATTTTTGAGCGAATTTTTTTTAACAGCTTGTGTCAGCACCTATGATGTGCTAATAACAACGAAACTAATTTACTGGTGTTATTTAACCACTAGAAACAACTTTTTTGGGACCTATAGCACCAAGAGAAGCTCAACTCATAGTTCTTTGGCATTTGTTCTCTTGTAGTTACACACTTCTCAGAAGTTGTAGGTTAGGTTACCGAGATATTTTTGCCTCCAGTATCACGAAGACTGCACATTTCAACATCCTTCTCATCTGACATATTGCTTTTTGCATATTAGGGAAGTATGAATATTTGTAGGGCAGGAGAGAGACTGTCTTCCAGGGTTCCCACGGCCATGGAAAACCTGAAAATGACATATTACAATTCTGATTTCTAGGCCTGGAAAGTTTTACTGGGAGATACTTTTTCTTTTTCTTTTTTTTTTTCTTTTTTTTTTTTGTGCTCCTCTCTAAAGTATTGCATCGGCTAGACATTGCTCTTTGTGAGTGCTTGTGTAGAGTAAACTCCCTCGAGGCAGTGCGATAACATCAGTCTCGTCTGTCTTTTGAGGGTCTTATTGAAGATATTTGCACACTAATTTGATAATTTGTTTAAATCTGTATAAAAGTCATGGAAATACAGGAATTCACAACTGTTAGATTCCACTGCTAATGTCATAACACAGGCTGTGATCTCTATTGACAATTCAGTATTTTTAGTTTGCGTTTCCATCCTCTCAACAGAGTCATTCCACCTTTAGTACGTTAGCATAAAGATTTGGGGTTGTTTGATTTAGTACACTTGGGAGACATCCACTGTTATTATGTTATTTACTGTCCATACTAATCCACAGCGGGCATGTAGAATGCAGGGCTCAGAGCTGTTATTAAGTATGCTTAGTACTGACATTCCTCTCCAAATCCCCGTACTTTTGGATGAGTCTCTGTCGAGTTTCCAACTATCTGTTTCTGTCTCTTAAAAACCGTATACGAAGGCTGTCAGAGACTTGCCTGCGTTTAACGTCACTTTGAGATTTCCTCCTAGCAGTCACGGAATAGACTTCTCTCTATTTACCATCCTGAAGGATAAGCAAATGCAACTAGTGACCACGTCACACACTATCCGCACACACACATGTACAGATACATGTCATCTAAATCACTGCACTGCAACAGGTGTGTAGTCAACATTGTGCGGATTGGGAATGTGTCCGTTTTATGCTTGTAAATCAGAGTAAAGCCCCTCTATACCTCTCCTTCCTCCTCAACCGGTGCTTCATACTGTAGTTTCCAGAACAACAAAAAAATACTTTCATAGAGGGCTCTTATTGCAGAACACAACAAAAAAACAACACCAGTGGTGATCACTCAGTCTAGGTCTAATAAAAAAAGAGGACGGAGTAAATTTCACTACCAGTAAATGGAGTTTTTTAACTTAGTGGAATTTATTTGAAGGGTTTTAAAAAGTGCATACAAAGCTGCTGTGCGCTTTAGACAAATTAGGCTTGGTTTTAAATCAGACTCAGTCCTAGACTATCCATGTTTTTCACAACATCCAATATTTTCCACTCTTCATTTTGTACAAACCTCAAATTTCTGACGAACTCAAGCTCTTACTGTAAATCAGTATCAGATTATCTTCCATCACAACCAAACTTTGGCCTGAGATAAAGGTTATGACCTGTTACGGTCTATAGGGTACCATTATAATATTAATGCAATAAAAGGCAACTTCAGTAGAGAATACACTTTCATGACTTAAGTGTGAGTACACTTTTAAAAAAGTGCACTGTAATAATGTAAATGGTGTTTTAATAATCTTTTGTCATTCTTTAAAGTATACTTATTTTGATGTGTTGACTAACATGCTAAAGCACATGTGGTCCGCTACTTGATTCCTATAATTTTACCTGTAGTGTGTTATTAGATTATATTTAATATATTTTAAATGTATAGTCAATTGTAACATCATCATTATAAATGTGAAATTACAAATATGTTTGAAGTTGAGGACACTTAATATTCAACAATATTATTGATTTGTCTGCACTGACACTGTTGGATGAGAACTAAACTGAGCTGGACGATGACATCACTGTTTTCTGCAGAACTGCTTTGTAGATGAAATGAACTAATTTAGAAATCTATGATCTTTACAACGGAGCTGACTCAACAACAATATGTATTGTATAAAGCACTCTAGAAATAAAGGTGACTTGACTATACACACGCCAGAAAACAAGAAATACAGTATACTGTCTAACTAGACAAAAATACTGTATTTTGTAGTTACTGTATAGTAATATGTTTATATTTTTGAGGTTGAGTGATAGCAAAGTCCCTTTCAAGGACATCTAAAGTCTTTGGTGATGGTTGCAATCGTGAAACGGCTCAGATTTGGCCCAGCTTCCATCGGACCCAAAAATGTTGTCATTATTTACTCAACCTCATGTTGTTCCAAATCCACTAGACTTTCGTTCATCTTCAGAACACAAATGAAGATATGGTAACACTTTACTTGAAGGGAGGGGTGTACATAAGACTGACATGACACCTTCATAACCATGACATGACATATGTCATGAATATGAAGTAGGGTTTATGCATGTTTATGACAACTGTCATTAAGTGTTTTTCGCTCAATAATAACATTTTGAATGCAAATATGACATTGTTTAAGATGTCTTTGTTATGACACCTTGACATAAACCATAACATCATAACCTGTCAGTGTCTTTGTCATGACAACTTGACATTAAATTAAGTTAAACTGTCATGTGGTTGGTTTTGACATTGGCTGTCATAAGGCCATTATAACTGTGTCATGAATATTTTTCGTGACCTCAACTACAGTGGTACAAATTGAATTTGTCATTAAACAGTTATAATGGCCTCATGACAGCCAATGTCAAAACCAACCACCTGACAGTTTAATGTAATGTTAACCAATAAAGCTAAGTGGTTTCTTAAGTTTGATAATTAATCTGCTATGTCATGTTTATGACAGGTTGTGTTGTCTTAATAATGTCAAGTTGTCATGACAAAGACACTGACAGGTTATGATGTATTGGTTTATGTCAAGGTGTCATAACAAAGACATCTCAAACAATGTCATATTTGCATTAAAAATGTCATAATTGAGCGAATGACACTTAATGACAGTTGTCACAAACATGCATAAAACTTCCTTCATATTCATAACGTGTCATGTCATGATTATGAAGGTGTCATGTTAGTCTTATGCACACCCCTTCAAGTAAAGTGTTACCGAAGATATTTTTAATGAAATCTGAGAGCTTTCTGTCCCTCTTTTGAGAGTCTATTCACCCAAAACTTTTCACGGTTCAAAACAATCATAAAAAGATTGTGATTTTTGACAGAATTTTTCATTTTGGGGTGAACTTTAACCAGAGAAACATCGATTTCATCGGAGACAACTGTCCCTTCTTGGTCTCAGTCCCTCAACGCTCTGCCTCTTCCAAAACATGCTCACCTGTGTCCTAATTTGATTTTGCGATTAGAGTTGGTTTTATGTGAACAATTTTTGCATTTGTGTTAACAATAAGACATATTGAGTGCTTGGGTTTTCTAAAAAAGAACATGGTGAAATCTGTGCATGAGGGCATTTTTGCGAAGATTAAAACACACAAAAAACCCAAATGGAATAAAATAGACCATGTGTGAAAACAGGTGAATAGAGTTTAAAGTTTCGAAGAATGTGTCTTTGTTTAGGGAGCTGAAGTAATGCCCTGGGATTTTATGCTAATAGAATCCGTTTTAATGTGTTTGCAATGAAGAAAAACTGTAATTCGCTTTGCATTATTGACCTGGAATAAAGAAACACAAAACCACTGCCACAAGAAACATTCCTTTGCCGCGTCAGTCTGAGCTTCCAGTAGTTTATGTCCGTGAAAATATTTTCTGTGAACAGAACTGACCGAATGTTTCAGTGCAAGAGTTCTGAATGTTTTCTCTGTGTTTTTCCTTTAGATCTGATGTCTTGATATTCTCCTTTCCTCTCCTGTTTGATGAGGTGAAGTTCATGTGACCTCCAGAAGGTGTGCAGGTCATAGAAAAACACACTTACCATCTGGACACAAGTGACATACACCCTCATTACTACAAAATTACACACCACAAGACACACTCAAGTATGCAAAGAGACGGCTGTGGACTGCATTAGAGAATGGGCCTGTTTTACATTTGTTTTCTGTTCTAGTGGCTTTTAGAGGGAGAGGGAGAGGGAGAGGTTTTTTTTGTTGCTCTAATTCTCTGATTTAGTTCTGGTTAGGTCAGAATAAGCCTCCCTGAGTGTTAGAAAGAAAGATAGAGAGACTGTGTCTGTCCATCAGAAAGTGATTGTAATTCTAAGCATTTTACAGCTTCTCTCACATGCAGAGAGATTTCTTGGAAGGAATCCTTGCTGCTTATGAAAGAACAAAAAATGGGGTGAGTGGAAAGAGGAGAGGAGGGAGATGTGTGCCAGTGTGTATGTGACTCGCTGTCTGGGGGTGAGACACACACACACACACACACACACACTTAAATACCAAAGAGAGAAACCCCCTTTCACTTTTCACTAAAACTTTCTCTCACACAAACACACATCTCCATTCAGAGACAGCGCCACTGCAGTACTTCTCATTAAGACCAGGACATACACACACATTGACACACTCACTAACTGTCTTATTCTGCTCATGGCTTGTGGGATGCAACTGCCGACCTGGAGCGGTCACCAGTGGAGACTGATCCAGCATTTCCTCCAGATGGCCCTTTTGCTCTCCCTCCTGTGCCCACCCACAGAGCCTGTTCCCTGGGACAACGACTTCAGCAGTGGCCCTGGAGAGGTAAGAACACCAGAGAATGAACAAATGATTCCAGCCGGCAGAACTAGAATGCATGCAAGTGTCTGTAACAGTGTTTATGCAGAACAATATCTAGTGTGTTGGAATACTTCAAACTTAATTAGGATAAATTAAGATGTAGAAATCCACATAAATCTGCACTTACAAAAATTCTAAATATTCAACATCTATAGTATTAAGTTCCTAAAGTTACATCAAGTTATCAATTTAATAGGTTGAAATTTACATAAATATGACTTGATAACATACAGAAATGTTCTGGTATAGTACAATAATGTGATGCCATTTTCAAGAAGGTTATTTCCAAACAGTACATTGCTGCATTTTAAAATGATGCACACTTTTACAAAAGTGCAATTGTTACAATGACAGTAACAAAAATACTTTACAAAGTACATAGTACTCGTTATAAGACAAGAAATACAGTATACTGTAAAACTACACAGAGTTGGCACAAACAAAATTAAGTTGTGAAAAAATACTGTAGCAGCCTGTTTACATTTCTGAAAGTTTAATAAAAATATATAAAATAATAAATAAATTAAATAAGTTTTAATATATAAAAATCTTGTTAAAATATATTAGTGTTTTTTTATGTATTTTTCTAAATATTCAATGTTATCTATGCAGTGCAAAGGATGTTTTTTTTATAGGCCTATAAAAATATATAAAAGTATATACTATATTATGCTGTATTTGAGAAAAAAATCTGTAAGTATGAAATATATATATATATATATATATATATATTATTTATTTATTTAAATCTTAACCTATTGAGTACTGTGAGAATGTGAGTAGATTACTCATAAACTCCTGAGTCCAGTATAGTAAACACTGGAGCAACCATTGATGGCTCTTGTAAAGATCATCTTGGGGACAAAACATTGCAAAACTCTCCAGGATGTGTGTGTGGGACTCTGGGGTCAGGTTTTGTCTACATTGTAGGGAAGAAATGTCCCCATAGGAATAGTAAAACCCCAAATCACCTCTACTGTGGGGATCAGTCAAAGGTCCCCACGAGGAAAATGGCTTAATAAACATACTAAATAACATATTAATAACATTGTTAAAAAAAATGCCGAAAGGTTTATTTGAGGTTTGGGGGATAGAAAACATCATGAACTCAGAGTAAAAACAAAAGAAGTCACTGGAAAGTCCCCACTATGATAGAAAAACTAAACTATGTGTGTTTTGGTGTTAGGAAGCAGAATTTTTCCAGTCTGTCAAGTATGATATTCCTAAAACTAAGCCTGTTTCTTATTGTAAGTCTGACAAACTGGGAGAAAAGGTGTGTTTTTTTCATAGTCTTAATCAATCCCAGTTCTTATAGATTCTTTGGAACTAAAAATAAAAGCAGTTTGTTTAAGCATTAGATGGCTTGCAGTGTGAGTAATTTTGAATCATGAAAGGATGTGGTCCCTGTCTGACCATAAAGTGTGTGTGTGTGTGTGTGTGTTTCTCATTATTGTGTTATGCTATGAGGGACTTGTGTTATGATGGTTTGAATGAAAAAGTTTTAGGAAACGGTTTACAGTGAATCATTACAATTATAGTAGCAGTGTGTCCAATTCTGTAAATCTCAAACACAAGCAATCTCTCTCTTCGTTGATCTGTTTTTTTTCTTCTGTATTTATCTTTGTTCATTTGCGAGCATGGGTGAATATTGAATTTGATGTTTACATGTTCAGTATACTAAAACTGTGAAGAAAGTGTATAAAAAATGTAGAGTTGTATTTATATAGCGTTAACAAAGATGAATAAATCAAAGATGTATTGCTCATTATTTGTTAATGCATTAACAAATGTTAAGTAATGACACCTTATTGTAAAGTGTTTTTGGTAAAATATGCACTCATGTGCGTTGAGTCTAATTTACATATAAATTATAAATGACTGAAAGCATTTTTAAATACAGCTCAATGTGAGTGCATTTTCAGTGAGAGACAGCAATGCCCTTTTGAAGAGCTACATGTTTGCTTTTTTTGATTAACTCTTGCCAGATAAGACAGCCAACGTTGATGAATTTTCTGAAATCGAATCATCTTAGCTGTTCAATTTTGATTTTAATCTTTTTATTAATACGATCTCAAGCAAACACATCTGCCCAGATAGTCTCCCATTTGAAGTGGTGAAATCCCTGTTTTCATCTGTGTGAAGTCATTACTCAGGACTGAATCTGCTCTGAAGGTTGACTCGTGTGTGTGTGTGTGTGTTGTTATCGTGCAGGGCTGTGAGGGTTTCCAGGTGGATGTATGTGGTGTGTGCGCAGGGGATGGGAGCTCATGTGAGCTGTTCAGTGGGACACTCTTTCTTTCTGTGCTCTCTGTTGGTTACCACAAGATCCTGGACATCCCCTCTGGAGCTCAACGAATCAAAATACAGGAAACACAGAAGACCAGGAACTACTTAGGTAATGGAACCGAATTCCTGCTGGCTCTTGTTTTTAATTTACTTCAGGCTCATTATCATGGCACCTTCCTCAAACAGGGTGCAATTTAGTGTTTCGAGACATAAAACACGTTTCTGTGTGTGTGTTCTGAGAAATATGTGTTAGATAAAAAAACAGCAAGGTGAGAATACAAATAAATAATCTCATTCTGTTCATTTATAATCAAATTTTAGCATTGACTGTATTTTATGTGCACAACCATTCATTCATTTTATTATAAGAGTGTAGACAAAATTATTAATCAAATATTTTGGGGTTGGTAGTATTTTTTTTAAAAACATTTTTTTTTTTTTGAAGAAGAAGAAGAAGTCTCTCTCACCAAGGCAGCATTGACAGAATTCAATTAAAAAAACTGTAATATTGTGAATTTTTTTTATATATATATATATATATATTTTAAATTTGATTTATTCCTGTGATGGCAAAGCTGAATTATCAGCATCATCACTCCAGTCTCCAATGTCATATGATCCTTCAGAAATCCGTGATACATTTTTTTGATGAATAGAAAGTTGAAAAGAACACCATTTATTTGAAATAAAGTCTTTTGTAACATTTTAAATTTATTTCTTGTGTTAAAAATAAATAAATAAAATCTTTCCAACCCCAAACTTTTGAACAGTAGTGTACCTAATGGATTTATCAATAACTACAAATCAACATTTGGTTCAAATACAGCTTAATTTAGGCAAAAACCTGTAACCCATACTTCTGGTGCAGTATACACATTTATCAATTTTGAATATTTAATGTTTGTTGGTGAAACAAATCATGTTTTTAAAATGTATGTAGACATGTCCCAAATTTAGGAAGCAAGCCTCATATAAAATGGCATGTATAAATATATATACAGTCTAACCAAAATATATTCTGACACCTTCAACATGTCTATCACAGTTTATTCGCTATTGTTTAGAAAATGGTAATAAAATATGACACGAACTCAGAGTTATCAAATCAGTTGATATTTCACTGGTTTTGGCCATCCTTCTGTTAGACTGTCTCACAAATGAATTAGGTTGAACAGCTGTCAGCTGTTAAATTTAAGTACACAATTGGATGATACCAATTTAGGTCAACCAATTACCAAGCAATGCTTAATTTTGTTCAGTCTGTGGTGTAAAAATGTCAAAGTGTCTAAATAATTTTTGGTCCCAAATTTGTATAAATTTTACTAGTAAGCCATGTAATGAAGAATTTTGGGGTATAATATGTCACAGTTTACTTTATTTTGATATCATCACTTACCCAAATGAACTATAGAGTCCTGCACCCACTAGTAAAAAAATATAGAAAATTATATCCAGTCATTATATCCAAATGTTGAAAATATAGTGAATTTGTACACTGTATTTACCTAAAGGATTTAAAGAGTTATATTGTTTTTATATTTTGTATTTTCCTTGTAATGTTTTAACTGCTGTTTCTTTTTAAGGTAGATAATATTAAGATCTGTCCAGGGACAATGGATGAAAAATAGCCTTTTGTCTAATTCTGGTACATTTCCAGTAATGCTAATTAATGTACACTGTCCCTGTCAAATAAATTAATAATAATAATAAAATAATAATAATAATAATAATATCTGGTGTCTGAATAATTTTTGGTTTCACTGTATATTTCTTCTTTCACTGATAATTGTTAAGCATTTCAGTCCCTATTATTCAGTGGTATATCTTAGGGTGGTAACTGGTTTTACTTCTAACTGGTCCAAGCTGGTAGACCACTGTGGACCAGCAGAATAACAGCTACCACATTCCAGGCGTCAGCTGGTGTGACCTGGTTTATCCCACTAAGGTTAATATGTGTTATGGAACCATGTGTCCTTCTTCCATCCATAATCTTTTTCCCCCCTCTCTATTTCTTCAAGCTCTCAGGAGAGCGAGTGGTGAATCAGTGATAAATGGTAACTGGGTAATCGACAGGCCAGGATATTTCTATGCCGTGGGTACTCAGCTCACATACAAACGGCCCAATGAGATACGCAGCAGAGTGGGAGAATCCATCACTGCTCCTGGCCCGACCAATCAGGAGCTGCATCTCTTTGTGAGAGACCACTCCTACTGTATATCACAAAACTGCCTCGATTAAAGATATATATAGAAAGCGGATTAGTGTGGAAGATAATCTACACTCTAAGAAAAGTATTTTAAAATAAGGAACAGTATTGTGTTAATACAAAGGAATTTTTTCACAGGTGTTTTACCTGTATTTTGTTTTACACATTGCATTGTGCTGTGTTTAAGGGTTAAAGAAAATTTAATTGATAATGTTCTGCATAAAATGACTAGTACCTTTTCCGTTTTGGCTTATTTTCCTTACAGTGTGATGTATTGTTTTAGAAAGTTATGAAGTTTGTTTTTATGATAACAAAGGCTTCTGATTAAGTCCATAAGAATAGTGTGTAAGACTGTGGATTTTTGTTTTGTTTTAAACTCCATATTTTTCAGGTGATTTATCAACAGCCCAATCCAACAGTGTATTATGAATACATTCTACCCAAAGACCCCATCACTGACACTTACTCAGATGCCTATTCTTATTCTAGTGTACTTCCTCTGGGTAAGTATTTCAATATATAATATACATTTTATACTAATGCACACATGGAGCACACTATAAATCATTTTTGAAAGAAATATTTTTTATTCGGCAGGGAGGGACACATTTAATTGATCAAAAGTGAGAGTAAAGACTTTTATTTTACATTGTTACAAAAAAATAAAGAAATGCTTTTCTCATTAACTGTTTTCAACATTGATGATAATAGGAAATGTTTCTTGAGCACCAAATCAGCATATTAGAATGATTTCTGATGGATCATGTGACTGAAGATTGGAGTAATGGCTTCTGAAAATTGTAATATTTCATATTACTGTTTTTACTGTATTTTTGATTACATGCACAGCCTTGGTGAGCAAAACAGACTTTCAAAAACAGAAAATCTTTAAAAACTTTTGAACAATAGTGTACTCCAAAGAGTTTTGATTCACAAGTATAAAATCAAAATGTTAATAATAATAAACAAAATTATCAGAAGTTTTTAGATTAATATAACTGTTTCCATGCTGTTTTGGAAATACATATCATTTTTTAAGGGTTTTTATCTGCTAGGTAATAGGGGCATTTTATATGCTGTATTAAAAAAAGTAACGCAACCATCTTTCCCCTCTTTCTGTCTCTTTTCCCCTCTCTCATCCTCCAGTAGAGAGTCATGGAATGTTTCCTGATCCTGAGAATAGTGACGGTGAAAGCTCAATGGGCAGCCCTCATCCTAACCAAGTTCCTTTGGACCCTATAACCCCTGAACCAGTTCCTCAATACAGCTGGGTTGCCATGAAAACAACACCCTGCAGTGCCACCTGTGGAACAGGTAGTTTTGTTGTTAGTCCATACATTAATGTGCATTTGTGGTCCTTTCTTCTTTTAATTTGGTCTGGGTAAACTAAATTGTCTCTTAAAAGATTCCTAGAATATGTGTAATGCCGAGTTCAGACTGCACGATTTTAGCCCCGATTTTGGCTCGCCGACAGGTTTTGAGAAATCGCCGACAAATGCCCGAAATCACAGGCAAATCGGTGCTCGTTCACGCGAGTGTCAATCACGCAGTGTGAATGAGCAAAGACGCGATCTGAGAGAATCGCCGACGGGTCGCCGACGCCCGTCAGATATTTGGCATGCTAAATATCTGGACCTGTCGGCGATTCACAATCCTGCTGTGTGAATGTGTTCTGACTGAAAACTACATCGGCGATGACCGACAGCCAATGAGAGAGCAAGATACAGGGAGGAGGAGGAGGAGTTATAGACCAGAATATCAGTATTTTAATAGATAGGCCTATATTTATAATTATATCAAACAGAAACAAAGCACACACATTTGCATGACCAGCAGCAACAGCAGGACATTTGCAAAATTATTTATTTACCCCCAACTCTCTTTGCAAAACACAGTCCTTGCTCCCCTCGTCTTCCCAACCATTTCCTGCATAAACTTTTTTTTTTTTTTTTTTTTTTTGCTACAAATCAGTGCACAGACAATTTGTAGGCTATCATTTTTAATAACAAATTCAGTGTCGCGCGAGAACTCCGGTCTCACCCACGCGTGATCTTCCGTTATTTCCTATCACTTCTCGCGTTTGTTTGGTTGTGAAACGTAGTTTGCGGACCAGGCAGAAGTTGTCGGCGATTCTTTCTTTTGTAAAGTCATGCAGTGTGAAACCTCCTGTCGCCGATCCATCGTGCAGTGTGAACACAGCAGCAACTGAATGTTACCCCAGATAGTCATGCAGTGTGAAAACAACAGTGACCCGATTATTTTGAAAATCGTGCAGTCTGAACTAGAAAATAATTATTTTAAGACAGAACTAGAAAATAATTATTTTTGGCCCTGAGATATATAAACACACTGTTGTGTTGTCTAATGAATAGTGTTCTGAATTTGAATGTAGTGACACACACACAAAACATTCACGCATTCCAGGCCATTGCAGAGGTTTTATAATGTCCTCACTGTTTAAAATCTAAATCAAATCCAGAGTAACCATACTTTTGTGCCTGCGAATAAAACCAAAATAGATTGGTATTCTAGCAGCAGCAGACACTGAACTTATAAGACAATGTCTGTCCTGTCTGTCTCTGTTTAATCTGTTTGTCTGGTGTGTTTATCAGGCAGTCGTCAAGTTGTGTTCAGCTGTGTGGAAAGGGCCACTCAAACCACTGTACCGAGGGATCTCTGTAGCCACACCAGTCATTCTGGCCCCCAGGTAGAAGAGTGTCAATCGCAGCCTTGTCCAGCCTTGTGAGTGAACATCGTTTACTGCAGACAAAGGAGACTGAAAGTGTCTAGGAAAAAAACAAACCAGCACTAAAGTTAGTTCAAGATTAGTTAGTCAGTCACTAAAGTATATTATATGAATACATTTTAAATATATATACTTAAATAACCCTATCACATAGGCCTAATACACTACAGTTACAGTCTTGGTATCGTCATATACGTATTACTTAAATCATACTTTTCTTAATGAAGTACAATTATATGACAAATGTACTTAAACTGTTCTGTATACTTGTCAGTCTAAGCCAAGTATACTTACTTATGTATAATTTTGTATGTATGTTACATATGAATGTGTATACACTTAAAATATGCTTATTTTTAGTTTTAAACAAAGTACACTAATAGCACACTTGTGAATAAACTTTTTTTTTTTTTTGTAAGGGTAGATTTGAACACAACAAATGACAAGCAGTCCTACATGCCTGCACATCTTGGAACATCAAAAAAACTGTCCATATGGGCATTTGGACTTGATTTTCAAATGGTGCAAATGAGAAGCACATGTGAATGAAACCAAGCAGTTGTCCTTCAATCAGTGTGTGTGTGTCTGTGTGTGTAGTTGGGATGTAGGGGAGTGGTCTGAGTGCAGTAAGACCTGTGGTCCAGGTTTCCAGCATCGTCAGGTGATTTGCCAGCAGACGCAGGGACACCATGGCAATAGCACAGTCATCGTGGCGACCAGCCTCTGCGACGACACAGAGATGCCAGAGACGACCACCGTGTGCCAGCTCAAGATCTGCAGTGAGTGGCAGATCCGCTCAGAGTGGACAGAGGTTTGTGAATGTGTCTCTGTGGAGGGGAGAGTGGGGTGAGATGAGCCAGTTTTTACTTAAGTACGTGAAGCGTGAAGAATAAATGAGACTAAACTTGCAGACTCATAATTGTGTTTCATGACATTCTATCATCTGGAATTGAAAGAATGCATCTATAACATATTATAACATCTATAACATGTGATTATTGAAATATTGACTTAAATAAATGTGATCTCAGTTTGTCCCTTAACCACCTAATTAGGAAAAAAATTACCTCATTAACAGTGTTGTCATTGTAAACAAAAACGAAAGTTTAAAATATTAAGAGAAATGTTGCTTTGGCAGCTAACTGAAATAAAGTTGAAGTTGAAGTACTGAAACTAAAATATAAAAATAATGGCTAATAAATGCTATAATAGTAAATAAATGATACGAAATAACTGTTTATTATTTATAATGTTAATCTTAATCAAAGACTGATAAAGGGTGGTTTCTGAATGTACAGTTTCTCCAGAAGTAATGTATTTATTTAATTGCATTAGGAAAATATGGCTTAAGTAAAATACTTCTGGGCTCAGTATATGGTGGCGTAACAAAAATTGTAGTTTCCTAAACACAGATGGTGGCTCATCTTACCTCGCTCTCCCCTTACACTACAGTTTAAAAGTTTGGGGTGTTTTTTTTCTTCTTCCTTTTTTCTTTAAAAAAAATCAAATTACTTTTATTTAGCAAGTATCCTCTGAATTAATCAAAAGTGGCAGTAAAATCTTTTACATTGCTACAAAAAAATCTATTTCAAATAAATGCTGTTATTTTTAACTTTCTATTTATCACGTACACAAAAATATTAAGCAGCACAACTGTTTATATTGATAATAATAAATGTTTGTTAAGCACCAAATCAGCACATTAGAAAGATTTCTGAAAGATCCTGTGACACTGAAGACTGGAGTAATGATGCTGAAAATTCAGCTTTGACATCACAGAAGTGGCATTTTAAAATGAAATTAAATTCACAATATTACTGTCTTTACTGTATTTTTGATCAAATAAATGCAGCCTTGGTGAACATAAGAGACTTCTTTCAAAAACATTCAAAAACAACCTTTAAACGGTAGTGTAGATGTAAGAGATGATGTAAAAGAGGAATTATTATTTACATTATATTTGCTTATATTAATCTTTGGAGGTCAATAGCCATCAATGCAAAGTGCTCAGAGAAAACCTCTCTCTTTCTCAGTGCTCTGTGCCGTGTGGAGTGGGTCAGCGCAGAAGAGAAGTCGTGTGTGTGGATAACCTGGGTGACATCGTTTCTGATGAGGAATGCAACATGGCGCTTCGCCCACAGGACCTGCAGAACTGTGACAAAGGAGTGTGTGCCAGCAGCTGGTTCTATTCTCTCTGGAGTGATAGGGTAAGAAAGCGTGCGCTTTTCTTCAGTATTTCCCAGTAGCACTTCTAAAACAGCTGTTTATGTCTCTCTGCAGTGCTCCGCAGACTGTGCGGAAGGACGTCGCAGCCGGTCAGTGGTGTGTATGATGAGTCAGACCAACTCACTTCCACTGGACAACTGCGATGATGAGGATAAAGCCGACGAGCTCATGCCGTGTGACCTGGGACCCTGCTCACAGCGACTGGAATGGTACACAGGACCCTGGGGACAGGTGCATGGACACACACATGCAGAAAGTTTAGTTGAAGCTCTAAAATTACTAAAGCTACAACTGAAATAAAATTAAAGGTATACAGAAACAAAAAGTAATAAAAATGATAAAAGCACACAAACAAAAAATTAAACAAAAACTCAAACTAAAAATATAAAATAAAAGTTCATTTAACATGTTCGCTGTCAGTGTCCCGTGGCCATACCAGTGTATTTTAATTGTGTTTATTTCCTGTCAAATATTTTAGTAATCATTATAAACTAGATATCATTCAAGAGCTAAAACACTCAAAATTCATATTTTGAAATCGGACATGGAAATCGTACTTTGAATCCTTTTAGCTGGCTCCTCCCCCTAGTGAGCGGTGTCATGTTTCACATTTTACTAAATTTACTGCAATATTTTATAGTCAAATCTATTTCTAATCTTGACAAATCAAATCACATATGGTTGGAAATGTCAGAGACTAAAAGTTCTGTATTTGACCTCTGTTTTGTGATAGAAGTGATATTGTGACAGAAATGTATTAATTTGTCACAGGAGAATGCATAATTAGTCACTTTAAAATTAAAATTAAAATGTAGTCACTGGGTGGCTATTTTTAGCATAGCGCCTTTTCAAACACTCACAGGAACCTCCGTTTTTGTGATAATAAACTTTCAATTTGGAACACAACTAAATATTTGACTTTGATTTTCTAGCGGTTTTAGAGTTCAAAATAGTTTGTAAATTATATGGATGCTTCTTCCTTTTATGCTCCTTGGGCATGGAATGACTTGCAAAACATACTTAAATTGAATCTTTGCCACCTTTGAATACTTTTAAATGTATTTTGCAATCTGTTTTTTTGTGTTCTCCCTGGAGGAAGAGATTGTAATATCTCAATGGGATCTTCCTGGTTAAATAAAGAATAAATAAAATAAATATATTGCATAACATAAAAAAATGAAGTGCTTTCATTTCAGCAATAATCTGCTGAGTGTTTTCTCTAAAAAGAGATCAACCTTAGGTCTGGATTCCAAAGCATTCAAGAATTACAGCAATTTAGGTTTATTTAAAGAGATAGTTCACCCAAAAAAGAAAATTCCATCATAATTCACTCATCCTCAAGTTGTTCCAAACCTGCATGAATTTCTTTCTTCTGCTGAACACAAAATAAGATATTTAGAAGTATAATGGTAACCAATCAGTTGTTGGGCATCATTGACTTCCATAGTATGGGAAAAAAAATACTGTTTGATTACAAAAATTCTTCTAAATATCTTCTTTCATGTTCCACATAACAGACAAATTCAAACAGGTTTGGAACAACTTGAGGGTGAGTAAATGATGACAGAATTTTCATTTTTGGGTGAACTATCCCTTTAAGCCTTTTCACATCTATGCTCAAAAATGGAGGTGACAGTAATTCAAATATTAATAAACACTATAATAATATAATTTGATACTAAAATAAGTCTGCTTTTAAACTATTCATTAAAAGAGCTGACTCATAAGAGTCGTTCGTATTTGGAATTGAGCTGCACTAGTAACTCAGTGTTTTTGATTCACTAAAAAACCCCCAGATCAAATACTGAAACCCGGTTTGCTTATTTGTGTGTATGTGTGTGTCACAGTGCTCGTCTGAATGTGGCAATGGTACCCAGAGTCGAGGTGTGGTCTGTGTTGTCCAAAACAATGTCCATTTAGAAGTCACTTCAGATGAGCGCTGCTCTCATCTGCCCCGTCCTCCGAGTGGACAGTCCTGCTATTTGAAGAGTTGTGGTGCGCAGTGGTACATGACGGAGTGGAGCTCGGTTAGTTCCTCACACACAGTGCAACTTCAACCAAGCTGTTTCAATCAACTTGTTTAACGAGAATGTTTTTAACTACCTCAGTGTTCTCGTTCCTGCGACGGAGGCTTTCGAGTGAGGGAGGTACGTTGTTTGCAAGATGAACTGACCACAAGCCATGACTGTGATCCTGCCCTTGAACCTGCAAATCAAGAGAATTGTAACACACACACCTGCACGCCACAGATTGGTATGATTTTCTAGAGCTGTCACTTTCTTCATTTAAAATAATTTGTCTTTGTACTTCATCTAGTATTGTTAAACAGGTCGCTCACCCTAAATGACAATTCTGCCATCACCCAAATGCCATTCCAAACCAAGGCTGGGTATCGATACAGATTTCCCAATCTGAAGCTCCTGAATCTATTCCGAATCATTTCTTTCTTTCATTTTATTACATATTCTGCTTATTGCAGAAATAAATACATTTCTCTCTGCTAATGCTGTGATTATTATGGCCAGTGTTTCAGACTTGTTTTAAACTTGTCTGTTTGACAGTGTTGTTATTGTTCCCTAAAGCTAAAACTATTAAAATAATTTTCGGTAATTGAAAGCTGGTAAATAAAGCTGTATTAAAATAAAATATAAATGTTAGATGAAAAATTTTATGAAAATTAGAAATGCTGCCTTGGCAACTAACTGAAATAAATGCGTACATTTAAGTTAATGTACTAAAATTACCAAATCTAAAACGGAAATAAAATGTAACATTTATATAGAAATAAAACAAAAACTAATAAAAATGACAAAAGCACATAATAGAATTACTAAAACTTTTCTTAAAATTGCTGCAAGCTCGCATCCAGATCTACTTCTATCCAATCAACAACCGATGAATAGAACAAAGTCTCACCTTAGTTTTTCCCCTCTGATAATCCATTTCATATAGCTGTTCATCACAATACAGAAAAGATCGGTCGCTACTTCCGTTACATCGTGACTTTAACAATGAACATCGGTATTGTGAAAAATGAAGATCACGATTAATCAAAATCTATATTTTTACCCAGCCCTTTCCAAACCCATATTTTCCTTCTTCCATGGAACATTAAAGGAGATCTTAAGCTAAATGTTAAATTGCTCTTTTCCATATGATGAATTAAAGTAAATGAAGACTGTAGCTATCAAACTACAAAAAAAAGAAGTAAATTATGTTGTACTTGATGAAAAAAAACCCCCCCATAAATTAGGAATGATCATGATGACAGAACTTTCATTTTTGTGTAAACTGTACCTTTAAGATGTTTCTCTTTGTCTCTGTCTGTAGACGAGTCCTGCAGGGATTTGTACTATAACTGTGTGGTGGTGGTCCAGGCTCGTTTGTGTGTGTACTCATACTACCGCACCACATGTTGTGCATCATGCTCTCGGGTCATTCAGAGAGACACGCTGCATAGAATCAGGTGATCCGGTCGGCTTCTTGAGATGTGACATCACCGCTCGCCTTTCCTTGAATTATAATGTCCTTGTCTCATCATGACATCATCGCCCACCTGTTTTCAGCTGGATCTGACCCTGAGATGACATCACTGTTCATCACCTCTCTGTATTTTACTTCAAAAGACTTTAAGTATACATTCACTGCCTTTCTTTTTTAAAACACAAAATGAGAATGCTCTATGAGCAATTGAATATTTATTGCAAATAAAAACAACTGAGCCTCTTTTACCACATTTATCATGTTCTGTAATGTCTAAAAATTAACAATGACTGATTTTAAATTAATCTTTATATTTAAATGTTCATTTATGACTATTAACCTCTAAGTAACATCTTTATTATCGAAATATAACATCTAAAACTTTGCTTCTCAGCCGTTGTAGAGGGGTCCTTGTATTTTTCATAATTTAAAGAGAGGTCCACATGCAATATTAGTCAAGGTTTCTTGCTCCAAAATGAGTTTAGTTTTCAAAACCATTTTCCTGAATTTTTAGGTTCAAATGAAATGGAAGTAACAACAGATCTTCCGAATTGTGACGTACGTCTGAGTGAAGAGAAAAAACTTGGCGGTTGATGACTGGATTTTGAGATGTGGGCATTGCACTCAAAAGTGGAGGCAGAAGAACACAAGCTGGAAGGGGTGGGTTTAAGCAGACTAAATGATTGGAGAAGTCTTATTACCAGAGAGAAGTCTATTGGTTATATATACCAGAAGCTTGAGTTATAATAATAATAAACATTTATTTGTATAGCACTTTTCATACATGGAATGCAACTCAATGTGCTTTACAAGCATAAAACCAAATTCACACAATGTCAATATAAAGTAAAAAACAAATAACAGATAAAATAACAGACTTGTACACAACTTCACATAATATTGTTGTACTGATAAGCAGCTTTAAAAAGATATGTCTTAACCTGCCTTTTAAAAATATGAATACTAGTAGCCTCTTTCACTTCATTTGGTAAAGAATTCCAAATTTTTGGAGCATAGTGGCTAAAAGAAGCACCACCAGATCGTTTATGAGTAACTGGATAATGTGCCAGAAGATTAGCATTAGAGGATCTTAATCTACGATTTGGAACATACCTTGACAGACAGTCTGAAATGTATAAAGGTGCCAGATTGTGCTGAGTTTTATAAACAAATAAAAGAACCTTAAAATCGATCCTTTGATGAACGGGTAACCAATGTAATTCCATTAAAACCGGTGTAATATGTTCTCTCCTTTTTAATTTCAAAAATAATTTTTTTATCAAAAATAATGTGATTTGTCCTGATATGACCCCTTGAAGAGGTCACTTCAGTATGAGTAGAACAGACTAGCCAGAAATGCACACATGCGTCAGAATGACCCTCTCACTCTGAAAAATGGACAAAAATAAAAAATAAACCTAATGATGAAGGTGAATTCTAAAATATAGGAAAGACGTGTTCCTTCAGTGAGACACTCTATTTGCTATAAGATGTACAAAAACTTAACGAGAACATAAAATGCTCTGAAAAAGCTGTATATTCACAGTGGTGTCTATAATGTGGGAATGGGAATAGAATGAACCTGTTCTTCCTTGTTAGATAATAAAGTCCATTATGAATTAAATTATTAACTCATTAATAACATTATTTATGGGAAAACATCCCATAAGTGCCATATTTCAATATAGGAAACTTCCAGTGAAAATATTGATATAAATTATAATAATAATATTCATTTGTGCAATAAAAAAACATTCTTGACAAATATCATCTTAATCTTGGCATTCAAAATTAACGCTTAGGGTCATTGTTTGCCAAGAAATAAAACAAAATGATTAATAGGCGATTCATTTACTAACTCTAATTTATCATGAAAAAAATATCTGCTTTTACATTAGTTAACATGAACTAACTTCATGTTAATTTCCACATTTAGTAATACATAACTAAAACTAAATGTTGTATATGTTATTATTCTTGTTATTTAATGGACCTGAGCTAACATAAAATGGTAGAGTAGGACCAAAAAATGTTCATCCAATCATTGCATTCAGATAAGATTTCCTACCTTCCTGTCAACATACCTCTACTCACCCTGCTCACGCAGACATCACACGTCATCAGCATGTTCCGTATGGCAATGCATGCGTTGTAGACAGACATCAGTCACAGAGCGGCGCAAACAAACAGCAGCCGCCTTTTACAGTTCTCCTGAACCAAAACAATGAGCTTATGCTGTGATCCCGCCATGTCGTAACGGTTCTTTTTCTGTCAACCCTATCAATGTTGAAATGAATCTGCAGCAGTCAGGTGGTACAAGTCATTGCTGGTTAATTTTAGTTAATGTATAACTAACGTTAAAGGTTCTATATGTAACTTTTCTTCTAAAATGAATCCTTTTTTTATTGCCTGTGTGTGAAGGGGTTGTAATCACACATTACAATGACCCACTTGTCAGGTTCTCTTGTCTCTGAAGGCCAATATTCCTATTTCTATGTGAAGTCTCCGGGGTCGGATTTTCTGCGAAATCCATCGGATGTGACGTGAATGCGCGCTCCTGAGCCTCTCTCCTTTTTATATACAGTCTATGCGACGGCACTGCAGCTGACGACATGGAGTCTGATAACACCAGAAAACGACCTGCCTCCAGCACAACACACACTCCAACACAAACTCCACATAAATATAAAAAACAAAACAAAAATGTATCTGCTGAAGCTCGTCAGGCCAAACGTGAATCGGATCGACTTAGGACGAAACCACGGATCAACATCGGCAGAGCGTTTGAATTATGGAGAGACCTTCGCTATTTTTATTGTGATAAATTACAAGTTTTCAGATATGCGGAAATAATGGTAAACTGTAATGAAATAGCAAGGTAAACAACAACATACATGAGACTTGAAATGAATACAAAAAAGACTGTTCCAGGATAACAAAAAGTAGGTGCTTTAGGAGGATGTAACTTATTTTATGTACTAGATCTACTGTCTAACGTCACTCATCCCACTACTATCATATTGTTTATAATACACATTTCCAGACACGTTTAGTACAGTAATGTTACTCCTACGATCTTACTGTTACACTGAAATTGTTCAGTCTAGTTAACTAACCGTTTTCATTATCATATTATACATTCACCTATGTTGACATTGCTGATTGTGAAAGGTACACGAATAGTTAGTGAAATGCCTTATGCTAACAACACATGTCAGCTAAATGCAGTCAATGTAACGTTATCATGGTACGAGCATGGAGCATTAGTTCAACGTCAAGCTGATAAAAGTAGCCTATTATTGTAACGTTGCAGTGGGAGTTTACATGAGTTTCCAGCATGTTGTGTGATGCTTTCTCCGGTGTGTTGAAAGTCTCAGTGTGGCCGGTACCACGAGTGCTCGCTCTTGTGTTCGAGCACGCGCAAGAGCACGAGCGCTCTTGTAAAAATTGGTTGCAATCTGAAACATCACCAATAGAGGCCGCTAAAAAATACATATAGCGCCTTTAACTAATGGGACCTTATGGCGCTTTTCCACTACACAGTACCAGCTCGCCTCGGCTCGACTCGACTCGCCTTTGTTTGGTTTTCCACTGTGTAAAAGTTGTACCTGTACCTGCTTTCGGGTACTTTTTTTCGTACCACCTCCGGCGAGGTTCTAAGCGAGCTGAGGCGAGCTAAGCCGATACTAAAATGTGACGTGAAAACAATGCCGACTGCTGATTGGTCACAGAGAATCTGCGTCATCATTGCACGCGCCAGATGGAGTATCCAGAATAACCCCGCCATTTTTAAATAGTTTGGCCAGAGATAGTTACTAAACTTACTACTATTAGGCAACTTATTATTATGGCAACTCGGAAGAATACGCCGTGGTCAAACGAGGAGGTGCAGACATTCCTTTGTTTGGTTGCCGAAGAGAGGATCCAGCGAGAGCTTGATGGGGCAACGAGGAACGAAATGCGTCGCTATGACGACCGGGTACTATTTGTGGCGGTACTTTCTGCAATGGAAAACGGAGCGAAAAGCGAGCCGAGTCGAGGCGAGCCGAGTCGAGCTGGTACTGGTAATGGAAAAGCGCCATTATTGTACAGTTACCACTTTTCCTTAATACAAAATATTATTGAATTTAAAAAGATTTCTATTTGTTTGTATATGTAAAAAGTTTCCTATAGTCATATGTAGAGTCGCAGTCACAGAACAGTGTATCAGAAAAAGAAGCTTTAAAGAGAGAGAAAAAAAGACCCTTATGCTTCCTTGGGAAGAACCAAGGCTCTGGGGAAGACCGGCTCTTCAGGTTCTCATATTTAAATTTATACAGCAACATAAAGCATGTCCTGAATCTGTGTTCAGAAGTAGACAAATGCTGCCCTCTCGTGGAATATCAGAGCAAGAGGAAAATTGACACTTCTGTACATTACCCAGTGTATTATGTTAATAAATCTAATGGTTTGTTTTACTTACAAGAATTTTCCTAAAAAAAATGTATCCTCAAAATGATTCTATAAATCAGAATAGTAACCAAAAGCAGTATTTATTATTTTTGATCCACACCATTGAAAATGTAATTATTGTTAAAACATTTTGTTAAATGTTTCCATTTAACTTGTCACAATAATTTTTGTCATTTATACTTGCTTTTATGGATTATCAGTTGCAGAGTTTCAACTTAGTTTTCTTCAATCGAAAGTGGTTGAAAAGGTGCAATTACCTTGTCACTGCAGGTTGTAATTTTGGCAAAATATTTAATTTAAGACAACAATCAAACTTTACCGTTAAATCAAAACTTTAAATGTAAACTAATTTTGAAGTGGGTTAAAACCTTTTACACTGCAACAGATGACATAAAATATTATGTACCTTTTGAGGATCTTGAAATGGGTCAAAGGTGTCACATTTAGATGATCTTGTGTCACAATCTTGACCAATCAGATCAACATGTTATGCATTTACAATTTTATAAAATGTATTGCATTGTACTTAAGCATTTGCATTATTTCTCAGCACTATAAATGTGTATATTTGTAATCTATTATACTATTATATGATTTCAAATAATTTATGCTCAGAAATTAAGTTGTATTTCTCATGTTATTTTCTTAAGTTTGCAGTAAAAGGTGCATATTGACATATATCGATCTCTAAATAAAACCTGTTGTTCAGATATATACATATATATATATATATATATATATATATATATATATATATATATATATACAGTTGTAATATATCCCAAGCCAAGTCATCTAAAATAATAATGGAAATGAATGAACCTTTGTATTTAACTTTGTATTGAACATTTTGTACGGAAACAGAGTTTAAACACATATTTTACAAATGAATGTATAGAAAGAAAGAAATTCATGTATTGCACTATAGTAAGTTAATAATGGTGTCATTCACACTCAGTCACTGCCTGGAGCAGAAGCTCATCAGGTACCTCTTCAGTGGTCCTTTCTACTTCCTGCAAAGCTTCTAGATAAGCAGGGTCATCAGGCCACTCTCCCCAATCCTCAGTGTTCTCAGACCGGGCAGCCGAGGAGGACTCTGCTGAAGCATTCATGGGTACAGAGCTCTTGGCAAGCTCAATGTTCCCCAGTTCATCCGTCAAATATTGCTGATCCTCTTCATCCTTAAGATAAAGAAAGGTGTACAAGTCAACACACAAACATGTACTCAGCCTAATGTACGGTTATGTGAATGACAAGTGTCTCCAGATGAGGTGAATCCTGACAAACCTTCATCAGTAGGTGGCTCATGCAGACCTCCTGAGGCAGTGGGAAGCCTGAACATAGAAATGCCACCATATTACAAACAAACCCTTTTAAATGCCAGATCATTCCCCACAAACTTTCCATATCTAGCCATATCTTAAAGGGGTCATATAATGGTACATGCACTTTTACAAGTTGATTGTACTGAAATGTGTGTTGGCAGTGCCTGTACACAAACATCATAAAATGATAAAAATCCATCCAGTGGTTTTGTTTTAATCTCCTTATATGTTTTCCCCTGCCTCAAATCGAGCCGTTCGACCGTGTGACGTCACACGGTCGGACGCCCCTCCCGCGATTGTTGATTGACAGCCGGGTTTCATAGTCAATCATAGTCTGCGCGGACCGGCGCGGTCATTGTTGATATGCTGGAGCACTGTCTATGAGCAGAATGGCGTCTAAGCGATTGTGGTGTTCTGTTCTTGGGTGTAATAACGAACACAGCAGTCATTTTAATGTTCCTAAATCCGAACCGCTGAAGACGCAGTGGCTGTGTTTGTTTTCGAAGGGAATATTCCCCACGAGCAACGTCAATGCTTTCATATTTGCGCGAATCATTTCACACACCAGACTGCTTATAAACGAGGAGGGTCAGTATAAAGCTGGTTTTGCTAAGAAGCTGCTCCTGGACCGGTACCAACTATTCGTGTTCCTGCTGAACCTCCAAAATAACTGAAGTGAGTGTAACGTTTTATTAATCTTTAATATTATATTAATCTTTGCAAATCGCTAGATGCACGCTTCACAATGAAAGCGTCTAAGGTTTACACTCAGGGTACATTACGGCATGTTTTCTATGTACGACGTTCTCAATATAATTCATAATCCCACGTCTATAATGAACAACGCGTTATGGTTATTGTGTTACAAATGGTGTAGCACAGAACAGGGGCGGGGTGAGCAAAGCTCATGATCATTTAAAGTCATATACACTGAAACGGCGTGCTGAAAACAGAGCTGTTTTTGACCAGGTAAAATAAGTGTTTTCTTACAATACTAATGAGAATTTTTAATTAAAGTATATTACAAAGTTTTAATTTAGACTCTAAAGAATCATATTAGATTGTACAAAAATGGCATTATATGACCCCTTTAACATTCTTATTTTAGTATTATTTCTATACTATTATAAAGTTTCTTAACATTTTTAATGAACTTTTATTTTATATTTAAATTGTATTCGTTTCTTGATTTTTTTTATTTATTTGCAACTTTACTTCAGCTTAAACCTATAACAGTTAGTTGCCAACGAAACATTTTTAATATTAATTTCAAGTTTTTCATCAAATATTCATATCTGATTTTATTTAAGTTTTTTTTTAAGTGACCTAAAATTACTTTTAATAGTTTTAGTTAACAACAACAACACTGAAATTCAGCCTATCTGGGAGCGTAATCTCATTATTTATTCCTCTATGAAGCGTACTGGAGGATCTGAAGTTCTGTCTCCTGCAGTCAGGGTCATGGCATCTCTGATACCACACTTCTTCTTTGAGATCCACCACAATTCTATCAAAAAGAAGAATAAAGAGCATTCGTAATTTGTTGCAAACCATCAAACAGAGAATGTAAAGCAATGCAAGTCACAGTGATAGAGACTCACATGATGTTGTTGCTCTTGTGGAAGCGCTTCACATTGTGGCACCAGCGGAATTTCTCAATGTCATAAACCAGCAGCTGTTCAGATGCAAAGTAGTTCCATCGCCGGATACCTGTTTGGGTTAAATGTGACATTCAGTTAACAAACCATTCAGCTGAAATAATTCCTTTTGTGAAAAACATGCTTTGAGCAACATGAGGGTGAGTAGATAATGACAAATTTCATTTGAAAGAAATAGTATACAGATCTTTTTTCTCCTGCAGTGCTTACTTCCTTGAATGCCATCCTTGCACACGAGTGTCAGCACAAATTCATCCACCTCTTTAAAAGGAGACGGCTTCTGTTCACCTAACAGATCTATACAGAGAGGGCGGAGTGAGAAGTCTCTAATTGTAATGAACTGTCTATGGTGTGAACAGTAAAATATGACATTACATTTATTTCACCCAACAGCCAATTGAATGTTCAATTTCATATATATAAATGCACATTATATACTGTATGCAAATTTTAAGCAAACCACATTACAGCACTGACCGGAGATGGTTATTTCTGAATAAATTCACTTACCATTCCTTCCTTCGGGTCATTTTGACCCGATACTCAAATAGTATTTAAATAGTGTTCATCGGAGAAGTCCAAGACCCTAGGACTTTTGTCGCACTTGAACCACGAATACACAAAATATTTTTTTTAACTGGATTCAAGAAATTTTGTGGTTGAAATAAAAAAAAAAGGTAACAAATCCTTCCGTCGAGGGTCAATTTGACCCCCTTAAAAATGAATGGAATATGAGGAATACTTCAGTACACATAGAAAAAACTAAAATGCTCAAAATTCTAACTAAAAATTCTTAAACTTTACCATAAAATGATTTTATAATGTCTACATGTGTATCTGAATGCATACTGAAGAAACAACTAACTTTAGGACCCAGCGGAACTGCTCATTTGCTCATAGAGCTATAAGTCCATCTAGTGGCAAGAGTCACGAAATATCATGTTATATTATTATTTTTCCACAGGAGGTCAGCAGACACCCAGTGTAAGATATTTTGAGCTGAGTTATTTTGAATTTAGTGGAAATAATGTGAAGAATGTGCCAAAATTATTACTTATTTATTATTTATTGATAAAATCTAATAATTTAAAGGTAAATTAAATAACAAAAAAATCTCCAAAAATTGCATTATAATATTACCAAAATAAAATAAGCTTTCTGAAAAAAAGAAGAAGAAAAAAAAAAAGTATAATTTAAGGGCTTCGGGTCATTTTGACCCATGAGGGAAGGATTTGTTACAAAGTGCGAGGGAAGGATGAGGGTAGCTCTTGGTGATGTTAACTTGTATTTCTCACCAGAGCTGTGTGACTGTCTTTGCAGGGTTGAACACAGAGACCCTGCAGTATTCTTCTGTGGTATATCATACGTCAAAATCCTCTGTCCTGTGAAACTGGTACAAAATAGAAATGTGCGTTAGTGTGTGTGAAAGCGGGAGAGACACAAAAATAAAATCACAAAAAGCTTGCTCCACCATAGTGTGGACAACATATTTACACAATTTTTTCATACAACAACCTGATGTTGGTGATTAAAGAATCTAGAAATATGCGTTCTTCTTTAGTGGTGTGGTTGGAGGGCTTTGGGACAAACTTGTTGTCTTCTGCCACACTGAAGGCTGCATTCTTTCCCAGTTTGGAGGACTTGTAGAGGCGAAAGTTCCTGTTCTTGGTGTAGACGCCTTCAAAACAGAGCATGGTATTAACATCAGGCATAAGTCTCTTGTCCTTTATCTTAATAAACTCTAGTAAAAAAAGAAGTGTGCTTAATTTTATTGAATATACACTTGTAGTGTACTTCAAATCTTTAAAAATATATTTTCTTAAAAACTCTACTAGCTGGACAGGGCCGTAGAAGGGCAAGAACCAAGCAGCAGGATTGGTATTTGCTCCTTTGTGTGAGGTGGAACAGAAGGAGCACTGCCAGAGCCCTACACAATGATCTACAGCAGTCTACTGGTGTGCATGTTTCTGAACAAACTGTCTGAAACAGACTCCATGAGGGTGGCATGAGGCCAGATGTCCTGTGCTCACAGCCCAGCACCGTGCAGCTCGATCACATTTGCCAGGGAACTCCAGAATTGGCAGGTCCGCTATTGGCGCCCCGTTCTCTTCACAGATGAGACTGACAGACATGAAAGAGTCTGGAGAAGCTGCGGGGAACGTTATGCTGACTTCAACACCATCCAGTAAGACTGGTTTGATAGTGGGTCAGTGATGGTCTAGGAGGGCCGCACAAACCTTCACATGCTCAAGTTGGATCAGCCTGTAATTTCAATTTTGTTTTTTTATTGTGATTTTAAATCCAGCCCTCAATTTGTTGATTACTTTGGCTACCATGGACACACACATCATTTTGATAAATAATTTTTTTTAATAAAATATGGCGCTATCCTGACTAGGGTGTATAATACATTTACATTTAATTTTAAATAATATGCAATTAAGTGTCTGATAACATTACATTTAGTTTGGACTTAAGTGTATCCTTTTAAAGTATATTATTTGCATAATAAGTATTCTTTTTTTCACAAGAGACCATTTAATGTGTTTAATTTATTTATAATCAACAGCAAAGAAGTTGGTGTACAGTAGTCCTCTAAAGTCCAGTGTGTTTCAAGACTTTGTAGACTAAATAACCGACTTTAAATTCTTACCCAGATCAACAAAAAGTTGTTCCTGCTCGTTTTTGCTCTTGACTACTAGAAAGCCAAGATCATTCTCTTCAAACTTTCTTCTCTTGGTCTGAGAACCATCCACATCATCTCTGGTCTCTGGTGCATCTGGATTGCTTTAAACCAAATCAAACCAATATTACAACAGAAAGGATGTATTAACACTGCAAAAACATTTTAAAAAATGAGTCTGTAAGAAACTGGAGGAGGGTTTTTACAGAAAACAAGAGGGGCAATAAAGAAATCAGTTCAAAATAATGACTTTAATTACAGCCCTTCCAATGTTTGTCATCTCTCACCTTTTTTGAAGGCTGTTTCTAGCAGGATGTAGGATATCATGAATAAATCGCCCTGCAAACACACACACAAAAATCACAATCACAGATCGTGACAAATGTTGATATATATATATATGTATACATCAACCATCAATAGTGTCACTGAACAGAGTCACTCAAAGCACATGATGATGACATGACAATGACTCACCAACATGGGAGTTGTCTTTGAAGGCAGCACTGGGAAGCATGAAGATAAGATGGCGACTAAACTTCTCAGAGGTGCTGGAGTCAAGATTAAGGACGTCTTTTGCAGAGCAGCGTAGACTATAAACCTCCTCTAGCTTCTCACACACATACTGTTATTGCATATTGAGGAAATTACATGTCTAGTTATGAAAACCATTTTAAAACTAGAACAGACAAATCACCACACCACTTTTCAAAAGTTTAGGGGTGCCAGAAAGATTTTTTTTTGTGTGTGTGTTTGAAAAAAGACTTTTGAGCTCATCAAGGCAGCATTTATTTGATCAAAAAATACATTAAAAACAATAATATTGTGAAATATTGTTACAAGTATATTAGTACCCCCCCCTCCCTATTTTTGATAATTAAATAAATAGATAAATAAAGTTTATCATTTTGCATTTTTAAAATAGAAATCTTTTGTAACAAAATTTCTTAACATTAGTTAATGTATTAAATAATATAAACTAACAGTGAGAAATATATATTTTTACATTTAATCATCTTTGGCAATGTTAATGAAAAAAATACAGTTGTTAAATTTATGTTCAAGTTCACATTGCATTAACTAATATTAACAAATACAACTTTTAATTAAAAAATGTACAAGCAAATGTTGGAATTAACATTAACAAACATTTGTTTAATCAATTTAATGCGTCTTTGCTGAATAAAAGTAGGCTATTACTTTCTTTTTTTGAAATCGTACTGACCCCCAAACTTTTGAATGGTAGCATACCTGAATTAATTTTGCCACCATAATCTTGCCGTCCAGGTGCGTGTTGGTGCCTTTGTGAAACTCTAAGTCAAAGTAGAGTTTGCAGACGGCTCCTTCCAGAATGACCTCATAGCAGTGCATCAGAGACTGTCTGTGAGTGCTGAAGAGACACAGATCTCTCATTCACCTACAACAATGCCTCTAAGTGCATGAACTACATTGTATTAAAAATGAAGTGAAAATAAACAAATAATATGTGCAAAGTAACTATTCTGTAGAAGATTCCTTTCCATGAGTAACTTCCCTAACACTGATTTATTATTATATTATGTCACAGTTACCTGTAATAATGCCAAAGTTCACTGTAGCTGGTCACTAGGAAAATCCTCTGTCCAGCATCACTGCCTTCCTTCTCAAGTGAAAATATGTGCACGTCCTGACAAAGACACAATAAGAGAAAAACATTTTAAAAACAGCTGATGATAGACTTTACTTGAACGGATATCTAACAGCTAATGTCTAGACCTGTTTTATGTGCTGAATGAAGCCGATGGCTGCGTTCTGGCGTGGGAAGAGTCTCCAGACAGAGGAGGGCTGCCATGGCCGGGACAGACGTGGCTTGTATGGACTGCACAGAGGAGATGACTGAAAGGATGAGGCTCTCTGCTCCAAAGACTTCAGCCTGTCCTGCCACTTTCCCCCCATCATCCTTGCCTCAAAACACTGGAGTAAGATTAAATCTCACTCATGCTCTGTGATGTGATCATCAGAGGACAGAGGTCAGGAAAACTGAAGTCACCTGTGAGCAGGTAAAAGTCCAACAGCAAATGTACAGTGAAGGCTTCTGGTACAGCAGATGTAATACTGGGATATTACTGGGCTGGTATATGAATGGTTAAATTATTAACTATCAAGAATGTTGGCCATTTTTAAATCCTAAATAGACAGAGAAACAAATAAATAAAATGTTACTGGTTTTGTTTATGTAAATGCTTTATGCCAGACACACAATGTGTTACTAATACACTGTAATCAATAAATAGATAGATAGACAGCCAGACAGGGAATAAAACTGTACAACAAATTAAGGAACATCGAACAGGGACTGCATACAGTAAGTTACAGGTTAATAAAACTTAATATATATGAGTGCTACATTATACATTCATAAATAAGTGCACATACACCTAGTTTGGTTGCTTACTTGTATTCTTGCTTTATAGTCCTTTGATATTTTGTTTTTACACATTGACAGTCTGAAGCACTTCCTCTTTCTGAGCACACAGCACTGTGGTTTTTGAGGAACGCGCGTAATTGCGCGTCACAGAAGGAAGCATTGCGCATGCGCTAGATGTACCGAGCGCGAAACGGAACTTGTTTAAGATCATGAATATTAATTAAGTTGACATCCCTCATCGTTATTAGAATTTTTTTTCTCTAGTTGTTTAATTGTTTTATTATTATTATTTGGAGATTAGTACCATATATGCATGTTACCACACTGTTATTACGGTTAGGTTTAGTTAAAACGAAATAAAAAGTCATTTTCTAATTAATATTCATGAGATCGTCCGTGAATGCCGCCGTGCATGCTGGGATATGTGACGCGACGTCCACTACAGCGGCTGTTGTTGGCGCGTTGTTTTGAACGAAAGATGGAGTTGATACGTGCTCTGCAGTTATTAAAATTAAACAGCGTGTCTTCAGGTATAGTGTCATTTTTGTCACAAACATGTATTTGGAAAAAATTGTTAAATGATTTTCGAGACTCATCGTGTGTATTGTTCTATTAAACCTCAAAATATGTTGTTGAGCTGCAACTGACACTGTCATCCCGGGGGTTTGTTTTGGTTTCGGGTCATAGTTTGTAATATGCGAGATTTGAGGTGTTTTTTAGCGAAACATTTTGTTCTGCTATATCCAAACTCACTGTCTTTTCTATCTAACGTTTAACTATCCGTTCAAACTGCCATAGTAATATTATGTAGCCTAATCATAGTGTAAATCGCATGCTCATCGTCTATTTTAAAACTTAATGACCTGCCTGCATCATTAGCCACAGTGTACATATGGTATTGACTTGTTGAAATGTTTCAGACTGGGTGGATGCAGTGTGGGATTTCGAGTTCACCGACACAGACCCTCTTGACCCTGTTGTTGAGGAGGAGATAAAGGAAGACCCTGGTGTTTTCAAAACGGTCTACATGCAGCTTTTGACCTTCTCCAATGAGGATGATGACAATACACAGGTATTAACTTGATGATTCTGTGATTTCTTTCTGTTTCACCTCACCAAGGCCTTACACAAATATAGTAGATCCGTTTTATTATTCACTGCAATGTAATCTACTTATGATTTCTTGATCATGTATTTTTTTCCTGTAGAGTGTCTGGGTGGTGTTTGGTGAGAATGGTGTCTCCGCAAAAACTTTGGTGGCTGTCCTGTCCTACTTCATCCTTAGTGCTAAAGCCAAAAATCCCAGTCTTGAACAGAGACTGTGTGGTCTACAGGCAGCCTCTCTATACTTGTTGCTGCTGAAAATACCAGGTCAGATTGCAACGGATTATTAATATAGCCTAGAGCAAAAAAAAACTGATTTCAAGTTTGTTAGTGATGTCAAGGACCTGTCATCCACAACCAAAATAAAAGCAAACGTGATGTCAGATCCTTCTATTTTACCTTAACACTGTCAGAATGTCTCATTAGTTTATTTAATCTTTTTGTGTGTGGCCATTTTCAGGTAGTGTTGCGAATAAAGTGTACCATCAGATCCTTTTTGATACCTGTCTGAACATGCCCCTAAAATGCTGGCCTCAAGACACTGGCAAGAAACGCAAGAAAGATTCTCTGAAATGCTCCCAAGGTGACACCAAACCTGGAAAACGACCCAAACCCCCAAAGAAAGCGTCAGAAGAGGTATAGTAATTTTTTTTTATTGTTTGTTTGCATATTATGTGATATTTACACTCATCATCTTTAAAAGTGCATTTTCCTACTCTGACACATTCTCCAAAGATTCAATCTATCTGTCAATGATAGTGTTGACAGTGATGTCATGTATTGTATATTTTTGTGTTTTGTTTCCCAGCAGATGGAGATTGATGATGATGAAGATGACGAAGAAGATGGGATGTACTTTTCTGCCCAGGATTTGCTGAAACTAAGAGAGGGCATTGTATTACTGGTTCGCACACTTCTGAGACTCCTAGAGAGAATTTCGCTTCGAGACAAACCTCAGAGTGCTGACAGTTGTGTTCAGGTCTGTAAATGATGCGAGATGCGTGTCAGCCTCAGCCAGCATTTGTGTGCTTCTTGTGGTAGTTAGGGTTTGGTCTTTTTTGTTGTTGTTGTTTCTTTTACTCCGTTAAAGAGAAAATTGACCCCTTTGAAGAGTAGATAACGTTCTCAGAGCATGCTTATATCTGAGTATGGTTAGAACACTTTCACATGTTGATATAGAAACCAACATGTGCATTTTGTACAGTTACACTTAACAGTATGCTGAGATTTCTTACAGTATTTTCATTTTTCAGCTTTTCACTGAACTTACCAACTTTGAACCAGTTATTGGAGATCTGTCATTCTCTCAGGAAAGGTAAATGCAAAATTAGAAAGATGAGAAAATGCATTACAGCATTATTTATATACTATTATATTTTGAATTGGCTTTTATTTTCAGTTTTCATTAAAAAAAATGTGTTTGTAATTTTTATTCAGTTTTTAATATTTCAATTTCAGTTTGTTCTCAAGGCAAGATTTACAATTGTCTTTTAGTTTTTTTTTCTTCAAATTTAAGTTTGTCATCTAATGTTTAAAATTGACTTGATTGATTTGTTTTATGGTTTTTTTTTCGCTCATGTTTGTTTGAATAATGAGTGTGTTGCAGGTCTGTGTTATATTGGTTGTTGTCTCCCCTCTACGCTCCCAATTTTCCTCAGATTTGCACACTCAATTTCTAACGACCAGGCTAAAACAAACACACATTTTTTTTTAGTTAAAAATATAAAAACTGATGCATTTCTTCTTAAGGGACAAGTTCGGTATTTTACACTTAAAGCCCTGTTTTAAGATCGTTTCTGATGAAATAGAACGTTTAAGACTGAAATTTGGACACATGCTGCTGGCCCGAGAATTTTCGGTTTCTGTGGTAGCACCCCCCCACCTCCACAATGGTTGCTTAGGTGCACTAGAACAATCCTTCATAAAACGCATTAAACTTTAGTTTACAAAGACGTGAAACTCACCGAGTGGTCTGGGGTGTTCACTGATATGCTCACACAAAAATCGCTGCAAAAGATGCTTTTCAACAGGTTTTATCGTAGTTTTTCACGATAAAACCTGTTGGAAAGCATCTTTTGCATCGATTTTTGTGTGAGCATATCAGTGAACACCCCAGACCACTCGGTGAGTTTCACGTCTTTGTAAAATAAAGTTTAATACGTTTAAGAAACAATCTTAAAACAGGGCTTTAAGTGTAAAATACCGAACTTGTCCTTTAAAGAGTCTTTTACACAAATACATCTGAGTTTATATCAAGCTTTGCAGCCTTGTGTGTGTGTGTGTGTGTGTGTTTACAGGAATGTTGACCAATTAGAGAGTCTGCCTGAGCTGTCCTATCATGGACTGGGGCTACTCTGCTCAACCATTCATGGTGAAGGAGATGAGGTGTGTGGGGTTACTTCAAGAAGACCACTGTATTTTGGTTGCATGAATGCTTGATCATTGTGTGTTGTATTGTTCAGTGCCGTCGCCGAGTGTTCCGCAAGCTACTGTATGTGATTCTAATGATGAAAGCACAGGAGAGATCAAAGCCACGTCTTCTTGCTCCATCTCAGGCTGTCTGTGGTGCCAGAGACCATGCCATCCTTTTCATTAGGTTAGTGACTCCAATTCCATTTTATATAGGAAAGGGTTTTATTTTTATTTATTTATTTTATTTTTTTAAATGACATACAATCTCTAAATGTATTATGTTGGATTTACTTTGTCCCCCAATATTTCTTCTGCATTGATACTGAGAGTTGATTCTATCTGAATTATGTGTTCTAGTCATATTGTTGATCAGCAAAGGGAGGCCACATTGCCACTTTTACGGATCATTGTGCAACACATCTGCCATCAGGTATATTTTATTTTGAAGGAACATTTAAAAAATAATTTCATTTTAATAATTTCAGTTTTGTCTTTATTGACTCTCAACCCTCATGTCATTCCTGATATATTTATTGTATAGTTATTTTTTTCATGGAACACAAAATTGGATTTTCATAAGAATCTACATACAGTTGCATATATGACATATTATAGTGACCACAGCTGTTAAGCTTCAAAACAGACAAACAGCACTATTAAAGAACCATAAAAGTAGTTCATACAACTTGTCTTATATTCCAAATTTTCCAAAGCCACATACAGACATCATTATTCACTATCAAATCATTTATGCAAGTCATTATGCACCTCTCAAATCAATTCTAAGAACTAACCTGTGAGGTGTCGCCATTAAAAAAAAAATCTTCCATGTAACTCACTCTGTTTTTCAGATGGTGGAGAAGTCTGAATATCGAGCCAGTGGAGCACAGGCTGTTGGGAAGCTGATGGCTAAGATGCCATGCCAAGACTACGCGGCCATTGTTAAGTGGTTCTATAACTACTCCCAAAATAACAAGGTGAACAGTGTGACTATAACGGCCCCTTATTTATGCACAGATTATTTGATATTTGTCAATGCACTGGTCTGTTCCTGATTCCTGAAAAAAACCTTCTCTACAGGTGGCATTTAGAATGTTTGCGCTTGATGTTACCATGGTCCTTCTGCAGCAGAGTGAGAGGGACGTGGACGACACAGTGGACCCTGAGTTGGCTGTGTTCCTGTCCCACAGGTTCCTGGTCCACAATATAATTTACAATCATCGTAATGACATCTCTCCCACGGTCAGAGGTCACGCATTGCACTGCCTGGCACAGTGTCTGGAGCTGGGTTCCCAGAATGCCACAAAATGTGTGCATGAGCTGTTCTCCAATAGTATGTATATTACTACAGTACAATAACTATACATCTCATTGTAAAAATGTTTGTATATGAGGGAATTCTATTCTTTATTTGTAACATGCATTTGAATACTGATTACTCATTCTTTTTTCAGCAGGTGCTCAGACTATGCTGGATTCAGCCCATTCTGAGCGTAAGATTGTATTCTGGTACTTAAAATGAAATTAGGTAGAGGGATTTTTATAT